ACCGAGGAGGTGGGCAGGCAGGAGCCGGTGCTGGGGGGAGCCAGCTTAAAAGCCATCTTCCCCCCCAGCACTGCTCTCTCTATCACAGGGGGGTGGGGTGGGCAAGAGAGGCTGCCATGAAGCATCTTCTGTATACAATGGGCCTGAACTCCTGCAGACATAGACTGCTTTGCAACCCATGGAGCAGCTTCTGCCTGCAGTGAGCCTGGGCCTGCTGTGGACAGGAACTGTTTCATGGCAGCCTCCCCTACTCTCCCATCCCCCCTCCAAATGCTGCTGCCTCTGTCCATAGGGAGTTCAGACCCTCTGTGGACAGGTGCTGCTGCCACCCCACACTGCTGTCTCTGTATCAAGGGCAGCAGCGTGGGACATCAGGCAGCCAGTCTGCATGGGTAGCTGGTTTTTAAACTAGCTCCCTTTGTAGACCAGCTCCCCCGTGGCACCCCATGCTGCCATATCTGATACAGAAGCAGCAGTGAAGAGTAGCAGGGGACTCTCTGGGAGTGGGGCCAGGTGCATATTGGCTGCCAGCCCCACCCTGGGGGACTATCGAATAGTCATGTAACCACTAACATTTCATGCAGTTACACAACTACTGAAGTACATAATATCGAACATTCCTACTAAAAGGACATGAATCAGTTCATCATATACAGAAGACATGCAAAGAATTTACTTGAAAGCTTAAGAAAACATTGGGGTCATTATTCCATACAAGAATCATAATCTAAGATTTCAAATCACTACCTTGTTCCAGTCACTCTCTTATAGCTGTCTTTGGAATGGACTGCTAAAATACTAACTCCTGAACCAATGTTTACAACCAGTAATGGGTATGGATCATCCAGATTAAAAGGCATCTTTTGGCATCTTTCAGGTTCTGAGGCATTTTCGAAGTAATAGCACTCTGCCTGGCCATTGAAACTAACAGAATCTATATACAACAGGCCTTTGACAAGGCAGTCAAGTTCATCCAATTTGTGCAGCTGGAGGTTTCCAATCTGTGAAAAAGAAAAGGAAAAAATGAGCAGTTCATGAACTAAGTATGCTGGATGTTTAGTTGGCCCAGCAGCACACTATTAAATATGGGCAAAGTTAGCTTTTCATTAAACAGGATATAATTTAATTGGTATTTAATTACTAGCTAGAGAGATTATTATAGATTTGAAGCACTCATGTTTTTGAACTCTTTGCAAGGAGAGTCCAAGCAACGTCTGGGAACCTTTTAAAACATAGTATTTGCAATGCAACAAAAAAAATCTGCACACCAAGTACTGCTTTACAAGCCTAGTTTGAAATAGTGTAAAAAAGCCTGTGACAGAAATAATATCTGAACTAGAAACTGGGTTACGTTTGTCAGGAAGGGGGTCAAAGTAACACTTTGCTTTAGATCTTTTGTTCTTGAAAAAGGCTGTCCTGCTGATGCTCATTGGGTTGGAGTTCAACACCACCATTTTAGGTTAGACACTCTGAACTGACAGTCCACAGAAGTGGAATAGCACCCTTCAACACTGCTGTGGGGAAGAGAAACTAGGAGGAAACATCTCACATGCCAATTATCAAAGGCTGCATTGGACAAAAGATCCAAAGTGAGCCATTCACTAAATGCTTAATCTCAAATAGTCCCAATACAGAAACAGTGTTAAAGAAAAAGGATATTTTATATAAAAAGGCACTATACTTAGTGACCAGATGTCTCAACTCATTTCACTAATGTAAGCTAATTAGTTTTAATCCAGATCCATAGTAACAGTGCCAAGTCTCACCTTCCTTTTAAAAAAAAAAAAAAATATAGCCTGATATTAACAGCAATAGAACAAGTGAGAAAGAATGCTTTTGAGGTTACTGCTTTTAATGAGTAATTATTTAGCCTTTGCATGTCTAAGGCATGAAATGACTGTCCAAAAAGACAATGCCCATCTGCTACCGATTGAACAGTTGTAACGTTCCTTTTCACAAAGGCTACAATACTAGGGAAGGTAGGCTACCTACTGTGCGAAAATCTTCTTCAAACTTATAAGCCCCACCTCCAGTGGCACAAAGCACCGTATGTAGTGTTGAGAAGTTTTTGTTTCTTCCCATTTGTATAAAAGTAGGCAAGTCATGAGTTGGGAATCGAATAAAGTGCAAGTTTCCCCTTCGGCCAAAAATTGTCAAGTCTTTCAATTCAAGGTGGACATCTCGAATGCCAGTGGATCCATAGGCTATGTTAGAAGTCAAATATTTGCGGATGCTCTTTAAACTTTCAACTTCTTCCTGCTCCTCTTCTGCAGTGATATCAATAGGTTCGAAATATGCAAGTTTCACCAGCGTACCCCCAATGTCCATTCCAAACCACGGAAAAGCTGTGGACATAGAAAAAGTATTCCATGAACATTGCTGAAAAGCAAACATGATATATCACAAACTGAGAATATGTAGACCAAATGCTCTGTGAACTAGAAAATAATTAATACCATTTCTTTACTTCAATGCAAAAGAAAGGAACAATTTAAAGTTTTGTACCAGATAAAAAATGAGAAGTTATTAGCTGCTCCTTTGAAATTATCTTTGTAAAACGTACACTACTGAACCTGGATAAAACTCCCACTCCCTTCCTTCACCCAACTTCATATGGTCTAAGATAAATCAAATCCACTAACTACTCCCCACACAGCTTTTTAAAAAGGAAGTTTACCTATAATTTTTCCAAGAACAGAATACCAAACAAATTCTTCACTTTTTAACATTAATAAAGGATTTTAAATACATAGACTGCCATGGCCTAGCAACAAAGCAGACTAATTATTAGAGATGTTAGACAGTATGTAATTAAATATTCATGTAACTGCATCAAAATATTATTGGCTAAATGACTATTTGATATTCTCTGGGCCCGAGGCAGCAGTGCACAGTTTCTATCAGAGGCAGCAGTGCAGGATGGCAGGCAGGAGCCAGTCTGCAAGAGGAGCCAGTTTAAAAAAAGCACTCCCCATTCAAACCGGCTCCACTGGCTATCTTGTGTTGCTTCCTCTGATAAGAGAGGCAGCAGTGCGGGATATTATTGGCTAAATGACTATTTGATATTCTCTGGGCCCGAGGCAGCAGTGCACAGTTTCTATCAGAGGCAGCAGTGCAGGATGGCAGGCAGGAGCCAGTCTGCAAGAGGAGCCAGTTTAAAAAAAGCACTCCCCATTCAAACCGGCTCCACTGGCTATCTTGTGTTGCTTCCTCTGATAAGAGAGGCAGCAGTGCGGGATAGCAGCGTTAAAGACTAGTTGACTATCCGATAAGCAAATGCTTACTGGATAGTCAGTTGACTCCCGCTCCCCTTGCTGTCTATCAGACAGAGGCAGCAAAGGGGAGAGGGAAGAGGGCTACTTCAAAGGGCAGTGCCTCACAGCGGAACTGGGGATCAGCTGTGTGGCACTGCCCCTTTGAAAGGCCTAGGCATTTCTGCAGAATCCAGGGTTAGCTAGGGAGTCCTTAGCTGACTCCGGGCTCCATGAGCGCGCTTCTACTTTGAAATGCACAAGAGCCCCTGCTGAGGACTCTTGTACATTTCAAAGCTGGCATGCGCATGCAGCTGGGAGTCAGCGAGACTTGCCACTGGTCCCAGGCTGCATATGGTGTTCTGCATTCCTCCTTTTGAAATGTACAAGAGCCCCGGTAGGGGCTCTTGTACATTTCAAAGGAGGAATGTGGAAGTGCCTATCGACTAGTCGATGGAAATTCCATCAATTACTCGACTAGTAAATTAACCTCAATTTAACATCCTTAGCAGGGGATGTTAAGCAGTAAATTCCCCTGTCCCCTCCCCACACCTGCGCTGCTTCCTCCGACAGAGGCAGCAGAGTAGTGGTGGGTGGAGGGAAGAGGCAGCAGTGTCAGGAATGCATGTAGTTGACAAGATTAACTGGTAGGCACAGGCTTATTGGTTAATCGTGTAGTCATCTACATGTTGACATCTCTGCTAAACAGACACCCTTCCATTGATTTCTGACGAAACTACAGATGGCTAGTGCCAAGCATGCAAGATACGGAATTTTACTGAATTTGAGTTCCAGCTAGTGTTTCCATACCTTTCTCTTCACTGTTACTGAAATACATGTTGGGCCTCCCAAGTCTGGCACCCAATGAGGAGTTTGCTGCACCAGGGGAAATCAATTCTGGCTTCCTGCTGCTGGCTGCCAGGCTCTCTCAGGGGGGCTAGCAGCCTCGGTCCACTGGTCTCCCCTCCTGGCTGCCAATGCTCTCCAGTCCAACAACATCCATGGTCCTACCTAACCAGAGATGTTGCTGGACCAAAGAGGTCCTACCCGTACTGGTATTGTGTCTCAATTACATTTCCTTCTCTCCAGATATTTGGAGTGACAGTGGACAAAAACAGAAGCCTATGCTATACAATAGGTCAAGCTCACAATTGGCATATGCAAGCATCAAGTGAAAAAAAAATCAGTATTCAGAACTGTGTCTTCTGGAGAGGACTGAGTAATTTCATCAAGTATATTCTCATTTATTGTGTCAGAGATGATGTTCTCTCTAAATCACCAATAAAGAGATTTCTAATCTAGCCCAAGGTATGTCTGAAGATGACTATTCCACCAACTCCTAAAATAGCTTGTTCCACTGTATTACTACTTTTTGAAATTTTTAACAGTTAACTTAACATTTCCTACTCTCCCTACCTCTGACATGTATATGTATAAATTCTCCAGATCTACCATCCTCTCTTCAGCAGCTGTTACTGGAGCTGCTGCTTATATATTATTTTATGATGATAAACTGCCATCACAGTCCTTTCTGAAAAATGTTCATGATGCTTCAAAGCAAAACCTTCTTCAATTTCACAATACATAACTCTTCTACAAATCTTTATATGCTCATTGCAACATATTTCTCAGCACATCTCAGATCTCACTCGATACCATACAATAATTTTCTGTTTTTAGAAACATCTAAGTTCCCAACTGGACTTTCTGAATACCAAACTTGGAATATCACATGATGATTTACCTCTCCAAGTATAAGCTGACTGGGACAATTGGTAACTTATTTTTCCAAAGCTTCTCTGGACAGTCTTTTGATCTTAAACTCAATTCAGATCCAGTTTATAAGGAAAATGGTGCATGATTCCATGAAAAAAAAAATCCAACTTGTCCAAAATTTAATTCCAAATTGTATCAGATTAGTAGTGGTGGTGATAGGGAAGAGAACTGACTAGATACTATAAAATACTATTAAATATCTTGAAGCAAGCTTTGACATGTGCATAAGATCATTAATAGCATGTTTTAATGGCCATCCATGTAAAACATGGAAGGGAAAAGGAACTTAACTGTAGCTGTAGATCTGCGAAAATGGAACACTAGAACAGAAAACTACCGGATATTAGGGTACATACAAGACAGGAACACACCAACCAAAACACAGGTAGGTATTACTTATACTTGGAATTAGAAAGTTCCTATAAACCAGTGAGGAGTAACCTAGGCTAGTGAGTGTGCCACATTAGTCACCCTCCATCTCAGTGGGCCACAAGATTGTTGTAACCAAGATGGTATCTCCAGATAGGAGAGTTTTCCTGGAATTTGAAGGTGACCAAATGACCCATAGCAGCACTCTGATCGGATGCAGAGGAAGCGCACGGGCTCTAACAATGTTGTGTGCAATCAGCATGTGCCTCACTCCATGTGACCTTGCTTTAAGTGCATGTCACTTTTGTAACACTGGTAGTAAAAAAAAAAAGTATGTGGATGAAAGCCAGCAGAATCTGGCAGCTCTGTTTTTGAGCAATGGTAAACTAAATGTCTCATGAGCTACACGTAGACCCCAATGGGCTGCAGGTTGCCTACCACTGCTATAAACTGCTGGACATGAGGAGAAGTGATATCTTGCCTCCCCAAACCTCCCACAGAGAAGATGAATAAGTAATTTTACTCTGGGAAGCTGAATTTTTGTTGGGCCTTTGTCAGAGAAGTAGCACCATATTTTTAAGTATAGGTAATATTTCACTATACCGCAATTGTTAGTGTTAATATAGCAATGATTTCTGTAGTATTAATCTCTCTGAAAATTTATCATCTTATATTATTCAATTTGTTTAAAATAGTTCATAAATTCAAACTTTGTTTCAATGTGCTAATCAGTAAGCATCTCCACTCAGCAATTCAGCTATCAAGTTTAGGGATGTTAGCGTATAGTCGTGTAAATGATTAACCAATAAGCCTGGCTTTATTGGTTAATCCTATCAACTACATACACTCCCCTCCCCTTGCTGCCTCTGTACAGAAGCAGGGGGGTTGAAGTAGGTGGGTGCCCATAGGGAGCCAGCTTTTCAGCTAGTTTCCCACAAGCACCCAATCCGCACTGCCAGCACTCTGCACTGCTGCCTCTGACAGAGTTAAGATTTATTAAGCAATTTCACATTTAATGAAAACTTTCAAGTTAACTGTGTCATGAGAAAGAAAGGCAAACTTATATTTACCCAATCAACCAGAAAGGGTCCTTAGTTGTTTTAATCCATTCAGTAATAAATGTAATTGGGACTTGGTAAAAAATCCTGAGCATTACATAAAGTACAAAAGATCCTTTCTGGTCTAAGGTGGTATTATGTAATTAGGACATATTCTTTTGCTTGTTAGTTACCCCAATAATTGTGAAACTCCCTGCATCTTTATAGCAGATACTCCTGATTTCTGCTGTTAATGTTTTAAGATTTATGGAGAGAGACAGGAGACTCATTATTGAAATTAGACACTTCCCAAAGTTTTTGAAACTTTAATCGGATTACAACAAGTAGTTTATGCTTCATGGATACCCAATAAAAACAGGCACAAAACAAAAAACCCAACAACAAAATCTTTGAGAAACAGCGAAAGCCTGCTCAAGATGAAAAACTTCTAATTTTCAACTTGGAATGTATTTTTAAGCCAGTTCTATTTAATATAGTTCTCTTTGGAGGCTAACTACTCAGCACTGAAAGGAGGATATTCATGGCACCAAATTACAGACCTTAGACTGATCAGTCTTTGCTTCTGCTATAGTAGTCTATTCAACCTCAGCAGATAAACTAGAACATAGTTTGGCTAGGTCTGGTCAACAGGTTTTAACTTTTTTTTTGTCTTCAAATTTCTTTTATTTGTAAAAAGGTTGCACCCTTAGTATACAGAGATTTCTGGAGATGGTTTTGCTGCATTTAAGATGCAAAAATGCCAGTTCACATTCTAGAATCCTTCACTCAGTTGAAGTTGCCTAAACTGGGTTCAATATATGGATCTTTATTACATGAAGTGAAATATAGGTAAGCACATATAAGTTTCCTTTTCATTGATCTGCACACACAGTGAGATCCTACTGGCATGTT